TATATATATATATATATATATATATATATATATAACAAAAGATTCAAAACTTCTATTCTCATCCATCTTTTCTTTTACACAGCCCAGAATGATGGGCAGAAACAAAAACCTATATTTATATCTCTCTATCAATGGGCACACACGTTCGAGTGTTTTTTACGTCCCGTGTCCATCTTACGTGCTGTAATCAAAACTCGTAATGCAGAAACCATAGATTGACGAGGCAGTTAAGACGTTTTTTTTTTACTTATTATTTATTTAATGAGAAGACATATTCCTGTTACTCATGCGTGTAAGTGATAAGGAGACGTCTTTTTTTTTTTGCTGTATGTGAGTGATGAGGCGAGTATCTTGACGTAAAAAAAGAAAAAAAAAAGAAAAAAGAGCGTCCACTGCTGCCACTTACCCCTCACGAGAGATATCCCTTGGCGCTTCTCTCCTCTCCTTGCTACACCTCCCTCACATTTTTGTACATCCCCAGTTGATCTTTAGCAGACTCGGCATCCTTTAACCGCTTCGCAGCCTGTCTTTTAAGAAATGCCACATGATTTTTGACGACGCGCTCGACAATAACGTGGGTGGTGAGGTTGCAACCGGAATCCACCTCATAATAACACCCCATCTCCTTGGGCACTGCGTAGGCGTCGCGTCCATCCCCGTACTCGTACGCATCACACGTCTTGCCTCCAACAACGGCGGTGATGCCGAGGCTATCAATGACTGCGCGTGTCACCTCGTAAGGAGCGCCAATAACGACCTCATCAACGTACCTGCATGCCAGCACACCAAGAACGCGCTCGTTAAGGCTCATGATGGGAAAATTCTTTCCCTTTACCCTGCGAATTACACCATCATCATGGATGCCGGCAATAAGGTAGTCACCTAGCTCACGCGCCTTTTGCAAGACACGGATATGGCCATAATGAAACAAATCAAAGCTTCCATCCACATAAACAATTCGATCGCCAGGGTTCGGAGAGCGATTGTTGCTAAACTGAGCAATTTTTCGAGATGTTGTTAAGTAATGAAAGCCAAGATGTCTATTGGCCTCATCTTTCAGAAGCTTCTTCTCAGATGCAGTCAATACGCTACTGGGGTTGCAAAGCAGCATTCGCCCCACAATATCCGTGGTGGAAATACACTCGGTTCTCTTTACAACCTTGAAACGCCCGGCATCAATAATCTCTTGATACGAATTACGGCCGTTCAGGTCCACAGAAATATCATCGCCGTGTACAACGTAGTCAACCTCTAGGCGATCCATGTCTGCAAGTCGCGTGACATACGGATACCCCTCCACAACAAAGTCAACCCACTTGCACGCACGAAGTGCCTCGTAACGCTCTTCCTCATGCATAATTGGGGGGCCCTTGTAGTGGTTAATCTCCGCGTCCGAATGACACCCGACAAACAACTCGTCACCCAGGGCTGCCGCTTGGCGAAGCGCATTGGCGTGCCCAAAATGCAGCATATCAAAGCAGCCGTCGACCCAAATACGAACGGTGCCTGGCTTCTTAGGCGGGACTGGGGCGGTGGCGTACAGCGAATAGGCGTTGCCCGGATCATCAGCGTTAATGTGCACCTTTCCCATGAGCATTGTACTGCGATGGCCGTGGATGGTCGGTACACAAGAACAACGCAACAAATTAACTGTAGAATGCCAAGCGAGGCACGCAGTGTTGAACGTACCCTGGTAACCAACCCAACCGAGGGATATCTTATATGTAAATGAATGTATGTATATATAAACAAAAAGAAAAACTGTGAGCAAGAATGTTTTTATTTTCAACCTGGCAATGCAAAGTTGAACGTGCTAAAAGAACCCAACCCACACAATCACTGTCCTCCCCTGCCTCTCTGCCAGCACTTGTGTTTGTTCGCACGTCAAAGGCAAGTCAGCTCTTTTTAGTTTATTTTTCGAATGCTTTCTCTCCCACCCCTTTCTGTTTATCCCCTTGGGCGCTATTAAGTTCGGTTACACCCGAGCTCAACGGCAGTGCCGGGCAATACTATTGAGCAAAGACTGCGTGACGGAGAAAAAAAAGAGAGCGCGCGCACGCAGAAGTTTACTTTCGGGGTCGACGGCAATCAAAAAAAAGGAACACGCGGAGCACAGAAGACACATAGCAGAGAAAAATAATAATCAAAATGTGGCGACGGGGCCGTTCATTGTTTTTTTTTTTTTTTTGAAACAAAACAAATTAAAAAGGTGGCAGCACCAGTAGAAAACAAATGTAATGCTGCATAAAGGAGAAAACAGACGACTATGCAACGACGGCGCGCTTCGTGTTCTTCTTGACGAAGATGACGCGGTCCTTGCGCGGAGCCTTGACGCGGCGGTGCAGGAGCGGGAAGGACAGGTTGCTGGCGTGGTACTCCGCAATGCTAAGGCGCTTCACCTGGTGGTTCGGGATGCTTTTCACGCCCAGCACCTCAACGTTGCAGTACCGCGCACGGTGGCGGGAGGCGAGGTCGTGATACGCCTGGCTCACCGCCCCCGCCTTGCAAACGTCACGGAACTCCTTCACCATGTGCGTGTATCCGCAGCGCTGGCTGTAGTACGCAATGTCGACGCTGTAGTTGCGTGCCGCCAGCTTACGGTCCTTCACGACCTTGCAGGAGAGCACGTCACCGTGGGTCGACTTCACCTTGTTCTTATCCCGCATCATGCGCCAGAAGCGGCTCTTGGCGACGACGAAGTTCGGCGCAAAAACCTCATACTTGTAGACGGTCGGCTCGGGGTTCT